TCACAGTACTGTCAAGGTTATACAGCTCAAGAACCTACAAGGACACTATACCGACCATAATCACCTGAAGCCAAAGCCAATGTAGCATAGCCAATCACCAGCATGAAGCCAATAACCAAAACAAAATCTATTAACACAGGAACCAGTATCACACTAGTAGAAAAAACAGACCCATCAAATAAAAAAAAAATCCTAACAGAGGGATGTAAGAAGCATACCAGTGAGCCTTTCACCACCTAACACTTGTAGTAACAGTTCACTGCTTTCAAAACTTCATTCTAGACTGGATACTCTGATTGGGTTGGCTTCTGATGAGGATAGCAGATGGTAATGGAAAAGCAGTCAGAGAAAGGATTCAGTGTTAACCAGGGAACAGTGGCTAGACTGAAACCAAAGTTAAGAGAACAGAGTTCACAAGAAAAGCACTTTCTGAGGGTACACCTCCAATGACATAAAAAACTCCCAACAAGCCTGTATCACACCACCTCCAAACAGCACCTCGTAGCGACTGAGCCCTTCACACGAGGGCCTCTGCGGATACTCGGCATCCAAAGTAAAATCCAGAACAGAGCAGGGCAATTTAAAAACTGCAACAGCATGGCTTCAAAGACCACAGTAACTCTCCAGCAACAGACTTCAAAAAATTAAAACGAATATATTGCTTTGCAAAGACTTAGGATTTTAAAGGGAAAAGAGATAAAAGATACTGCAGACATAAAAATGCAAAGATATGAATTTATATTAATAAGTTAGAGATGCTAAAAAAATTATCAAATCTTGGCACTTGAAGAAATCAAGAAATCAAACAAAATTGAGAGCCTCAACAGCATAACTAAGCAAAGAATTTGAGTTTCAATGAAGCTCTTTTGAAATAGTCCAGTTAAAAAGAAAAAGCATGTAAAAGGAACAGAAATATCAAAGACATGAAGCTACAAGCAAACATTTATAGTATGGTTCTTCCAGGAAAAAGGCTATAAAGTTTATTAATGAAGAAATTATTGAAAAACTTTCCAAATCATGAGAAAGACACTAACATCCAGGTTTAAAAATTCTATTATGCACAAATTGCCAAAAATGCAAGAAGGCAGTGGGGAGGAGGCGGCACAATAGTCTAGCAGCTAAGGTCCTCAGCTTGAATGCGCCAGGATCCCATATATACACCAGTTCTAATTCCAGTGGCCCCACTTCCCTTCCAGCTTCCTGTTTGTAGCCTGGGAAAGCAGTTGAGAATGGACCAATTTTTTGGAAACCTGTACCTGCTGGGGGAAGACCTGGATGAAGCTTCAGGCACTGGGCTCCTGGCTTCAGATTGGCTCAGCTCTAGCCATTGCGACCACTTGGGGAGTGAATTAAGGAATGGAAGATCTCCCTCTGTCTCTCTTGTTCTGTGTATCTGACTTGACAATAAAATAAATAAATCTATTTTTTTTAAAAAAAATGCAAGATGGGTCAGTATTGTGGCAAAGCAAGCTAAGTTCACACTTGAAAGGCTGGCATACTGATGGGCACCGGTTTGAATAGCAGCTGTTTCACTTCTGATCCAGTTCCTGGCTATTGCATTGAGCAAAGTGGTGAAAGATGCTCCAAGCCCTTGGGCATGTAGGAGGCCTGGAAGAAGCTCCTGGCTGTTGGCTTTGGGCTACCTCTGCTCTGACCATTACATTCATTTAAACTGTGAACCAGTGGATGAGAGATCTCACTCCCTTTGATTCTTACTTTACATAAACAAGTTAAAAAATTGTTGTACAAATTTTAAGTCTATTGGGCCTATGACACTATGAATTATTTTGTGTACAATGTGGGGAGGAAAACTGTTGAAGCACAAATAAAGTAGAAGTTCAGGGGCATAACTCAATGCATTGAAAAATTTCACCTAGAAACACACATGGGAAAACTGGTTGTTATGACAATCCCTGTACATCTTATGTATACAAGAAAATATAAAATGTTATTTACTTGCACAATAGTGTATATATACACACAGAGGCAACTAGTTTAGAAGTCATAAATCTCTCACAGAATATATATTTGTTCCATCTTTAATTAAAGAAAACAGGAATGTTTAAGAATGTTTAAATGTCAGGAGTTGCAGTTGCTAATTCTTGCAACTAAAGATCCTTTCAGGGGAAAGCCAGGCTGGATTCACTGTTCCTACTGGTTCACGTATAAGACAGAGTGGGTGCGGGCTGGTTGGGCTTTACCCCAGCATCAGCTGACATGGCAGATGCTGGCTTAGGGGACAAAGTCTGTCAGGCAGAGCAGCAGAGTAACTTGGAGAGTGGGTGTGGACCCATTAGGGAACAGTGGGCATTTCCCTCATGGGTTGCCACTCCCATTGGTAAGCATGAGAACCAGGACTAGAAGCAGGCATGGCTAGACAGAGGAGTGGCACCAGTGTGGACTGGATAGTGGGGCTGGTGTGGCTATGTGGGCTTCAGTGCCCACTGACATATAAGAAAGCTGGGTGGCATATGGGACAGACTGTATCAGTCTGCTGTACATGCTGGCAGGCATGGGAACCGGGGGGGCAGGGGGAGGTGAGCCTGGTGGGGGGTCATTGCAGGTCACTCCATCTAACCTACAGCTCCCACTGGCTCATGTGAAGGCCAAATTGTGTGGTGGGTGGGCAGGATCGGACTGGAATGCAACACCCATTAGTCTGTGTAGACGACAGGACCGGAGACAGAACTGACCCAGCAAATACAACCAATAGAGTGTACATAGACGGATGGGGCGATGGACCCTGCACTGGCAAGCACCCACAGGAATCAGGACCGGGATCACCTCAGATGAGGATTCTTTGGGGATCTCCCCAATTGAACCGCTGGACTCAACTCCAATCATGCAGGTTCCATGGTCTGACAGTGGAGTGCCTGTTATCAGCTGGGCCTCCTCCATGGCTCAGACCAAGCAGTGGACAGATTATGTCCAGATGCACATGGAAGCTATGGCAGTGCATGGGAGCCTGCAGATGACACTTGGTACCACAATGGAGGACTGAGGACAGAATATGTTGATCAGCTTCCCAGACAAGAGTTGGGAGTGAATGTCTGGGCAGTCAGATTCTAAGGTGGACAGTGTCAGCCAGTGGATTCTGGGGAGATTACGTTGTGCATGAAGTGGTGAGATCAACAATTCAGAACGGTTAAACTACCAAGACCACTTGAGTGAGACACTCGGAGGATGGCCCACACTGGGGACCCTGAGGTGGCTGGGTGTGGCTTCTCCCCTTTTCTTCCCCCTTCTCCCAGATACAGGAAGGAAGCAGGGGGTGGGGAATGCGGGAACAGTGGTTTCACAGACTTTCCTCTGATCAACTACGTAGACAACAAAAACAAAATTAAAGACAAAGGGGAAAAAACCAAAAACACCTAAAGATTCTTGCTATAGGAAGCATGTTCCATACAACAACCATGCAAGCATCACCAGGAAATATCATCATCGCAAAACTAGAAAGGGGAAGCCTCAAGGATTCAGAATCAGTGATGAGGTTGTCATTAGCAAGGCTGTAGATAATTTTCAAAATAGTTCAGCAATACTCGGCACAATGGTTAAATCTGCCTTCCACACGTTAGGATCCTACATGTGTGTCGCTTCATGTCCTGGTTGTTTCACTTCCATTCTAGCTCCCTGCTTGTGGTCTGGAAAGCAGCCAAAGATAGCCGAAAGCCTTGGGACCTTGCAACAGCATGGGATACTTTGAAAAAGTTCCTTACTCTTGGCTTCAGATCAGCTCATCATGGGTACTTGGAGAGTGATCTAGTGGGTGGAAAATCTTTGTCTTTCCTTTTCTCTGGAAATCTTTCCAATGAACATAAGTCTTAAAAAAAATACTGTGGCAGTCAGACATTGTTCTATAGCAAATGATTGTGAAATATCCAGTGCCATATATGGCAGCTCAGTAGAATACAGATTCTGGAGTCAAATCTGAGATTCTGGCTAAGACACTGGCCATTTCTATTACAGAATCCTGTTGACATTTGGAATCCTGTACCTTCATTTCAACATTTATACAGTGCAGATTGATAGATCAGCCGGGTGCATAAAAATGACACTGAAGTCTCATCATGCAGACAATGCCTAGCGTTACTGACTGCAGATGACCGATTTTGGTTGAATTTAACATGAAGACAGAAAATATTTGGGGAAATAAAATGGGAATAATGCCATTAATTGATATCTGACTCAGGTTTTAAAACTTAAATACTTTAATCACTTAAAATTAGAAAAAGATATGGCCGGTACTATGGTGTAGTAGGCTAAGTTTCTGCCTGTAGCGCTGGCATTTCTTACAGGAAGTGGTTTGTGTCCCAGCTGCTCCACTTCTGAGCCAGCTCCCTGCTTTTGATCTGAGAAAGCAGCAGAGGATGGCTCAGATCCATGGACACTGCATTCACAACGGAGACACAGAATAAGGTCCTGGCTTCTGGCTTTGTTTTGGGTTGCCTCAGATCCAGACAGTAAGGCCGACTGGGGAGTGAGCAAGAGGACGGAAGATCTGTCTCTTGTTTGTATAACTGCCTTTCAAATAAAACTAATAAATCTTAAACAGATAAAACCATTAAAGCCCAAACTCATGTATATTTCTAACATATGTACACACACACACAAATACACATACAAACACACACACACAAATACATTTGAAAGGCAGAGTTACAGAAAGATGTTTAATCATCTGGGTCACTTGTCAATGACTTCAACAGCCAAGCCTTGGCCAAACCCAGGAACCAGGAGCTTCAACCAGTTCTCCCACAGGAATGCAGGAACCCACATTTGGGCCAGCCTTTGCCAATTTCCTGGGCACGTTAGTAGGGAGCTACATAAGCAGCCAATTAGCTCACACTAAACCACCCTCTAGCTGGGATTCTAGCATTATAAGCAATAGCCATGCCAACAGACTGACCCACCACCAACACTTTTTTAACTTCTAAGCATTCTGATGAGTGTTATTTCACAGTGCATTTGTACTGTATTCTAAGCACCACATTTTATCTCACCAGTCGCTTGCTATAAAGTAATGCTGTACTGCTGCCACTGGAAACTGCCCATTTAGAAAAATGCATGACATGTTCCAACTGTTTAGAAAGTCCAGCCACTTCCTGTTGCTGTTGCATAAGTTTCATGCGATGGTCCTTTGCAAGGCTCTGAAAACAATAAAGATATCTGCATTTAGCATTACTTTGATATATTTTCTCTCAAGAAACCAGAGAGCAACTGAAAATACTCACCGTTTCTCTCCTTCGTAAAAAAAAAGACAACTCTTACTATAACAATAATTGTTTTAAACATTTCCCCCATTCGCAGCTCCTGTGCCTGCTTTTGGATCTGTGTTCATTATATACAAAACATGCAAAAGGAACAAAAGCAATGGGTGAGGGCATTTAGCCTTGAAGTTAAATAGTGCATTGCCAGTAGAAACTTCCAACTTCTTAACACAAACCTTGGATTCAGCAGGTGTTGCCTTATGTAGCTAGGTTCCTACCACACACATGGGGCAACAGGATTCGGTTCCTGGCTCCCAGCTTTTGCTGCCTGTGCTAGGCAACTAAATAAATCAACAAATGGTAGCATGCATGCTCTGTTTCTGCTTCAAAATTAAAGAACCAAAGCATGAAATGGTTTTAATGAGTACCTGTTGAATTCAATATTCACAACCAAAATTAATGTATCATCTGGCATTCCAGTAAAGGTCAGAAACATGACTGAATCAATCATCTGATTTAAGATTATAGGAATTCTAGTCCCTGAAGTAACTAGTTGGTGCTCAGATTCATGCCCTGTGATAGAAAATACTTATCCTCTGTATAGTTTTTTCAGAAACACCTAGTTTGACAATTGTAGAACAACAGATAAAGGAAAAACTACACTACAACACCATAGGAAAGCTAGGCAAAAGTAGAATATAGAATAATTAAAAGTGAAGAAAACTATGGCTTATTTTAATGGTCCCTGTCCAAAAACCTTGTCCACAACCTGTCAAGAAAAAAGGGAAAGTAAAAGGTCTGCCAATGTCAAACAAATTAAAAATGTTAACAAGTAAAATGTCAAAACTATAAGATGGACAAATATTCTCAATAGCATACAAAACCAGATCTTGGCCCTCATCAATTCCAAACATGGAAAATACATGCGAGTTAAAATGAAGTGACTAGTCTCACAAGCCAAGTCCAGCTATTTAAGCCAGTTACCATTCACCATCTTGGTTATATCCAAGTTCAGAAAGAAGATAATTTACCTATTAATTTTTTCTAATCTCTTTAGTATGTGAATGTTTCATTGGAAACAGAATTGTCATTGATGTCTATAGAGGATACAAATAGAAAATCAGAAGCCCCAGTGTTGGGATTCTGTGGCAATTCTTCAAACCAATTTCACTTGAGCCAAAAAATCACATAGCTTTGTCTTAAAGCAGAATTCTGAACCACTGAAATGGGTTTGACAATTAGGAGTCCTATTTAAAAGGTGCTATAACTCACTAAACATACTGGGAGCTTGTGCTGTGGCATGCCAGGTTGAGATGCTGTCTATAAACACCAGTTCAAGCTGCAGCTGTTTCACTTTCAATCCAGCTTCCTTCCCTACACTGGAAGGTCAATCACACAGAGTACCCAAGGTACTCCTATCTTCTGGCCTGGCTCTGTCGACGCCCACTGTTTGCAGGTGAACCAGAAAATTCAGTTATTTCTGTTTTCGCCACACGATCTATAACACTGCCTTTCAAATAAATGAAAAAAAATAATAATGATAATAATAATAATGATAATAATGGTAATAATAATGGTAATAAGTGGCCGGTGCCAATGCTCAACAGACTAATGTGCCACCACAGGCGTACCATATGGATGTCAGTTTCTGTACTGGTAGCTCAACTTTTCACCCAGCTCCCTGCTTAAGGCCTGAGAAAGCAATGAGACAGCCCCACGTCCTTGGAACCCTACACATGTAGGAGATTAAGAAGCTCTTGGTTTCAGACTGCCTCAGCTCTGGCTGTTGCAGCCATTTGGGGAGTGAACCAGTGGACGCAAGATCTTTCCTTCTCTGGGCGAATTTGCCTTTCAAGTAACAACAACATAAATATTTCAAAACATGATAATAGTGATAACAACAATGGGAGCACACAGTGTAGTGTGGCATGTTAAACCATCAACAAAGGTGGCATCATATGTGGTACCACTTTGTGTCCTAACTGTTGCACCTCTGATCCAGTTCCCTACTAATGAGCCTGGGAAAACAGTGGATGATGGCTCAAGTACTTGGATCCCTGCATCCACGTGGGAAACCTGCAAGAAGCTCTAGGCCCTTGGCTAAATTTAGGAAAGACTCCACTGTTGCAGTCTTTTGAGGGCGTGACCATCGTATGAAAGATCTATTATAACTGTCCTTTACTAACAAATGGAAAATAATCATATAGTCATAATAGTGATGATCAATTCATTTTTTTTTTTAGATTTATTTATTGGAAAGTCAGATATACAGAGAGGAAGAAAGACAGAGAGGAAGATCTTCCGTCTGGTGATTCACTCCCCAAGTGAGCGCAACAGCCAATGCTATGCCGATCCGAAGCAAGGATCCAGGAGTCTCTTCCGGGTAGCCCACACACGGGTGCAGGGTCCCAAGGCTTAGGGCCATCCTCGACTGCTTTCTCAGGCCACAAGCAGGGAGCTAGATGGGAAGTGGAGCTGCCGGGATTAGAACTGGCGCTCAGATGGGATCCTGGTGCTTTCAAGGCAAGGACTTTAGCCGCTAGGCCACGCCCCTGGGCCCAATCAGAATCATTCTTTTTTTTTAAAAGATTTATTTCTATTATTATTTTTTTTTTTATTGGAAAGGCAGATATACAGAGAGGAAGATCTTCCGTCTGATGATTCACTCCCCAGGCAGCCGCAATGGCCGATGCTATGCCAGTCCGAAGCCAGGAGCCTCTTCCGGGTCTCCCACGCGGGTGCAGGGTCCCAAAGCTTTGGGCTGTCCTCGACTGCTTTCCCGGGCCACAGGCAGGGAGCTGGAAGGGAAGCGGGGCTGTCGGGATAGAACCGGCGCCCATATGGGATCCCGGGCATGCAAGGTGAGGACCTTAACCACTTGTGCCACCGCACCAGGCCCCAGATTCACTTATAGGTCTAATCATTTTTCCTTTTTTCCTCTTTAAAGATCTAATGTTTCTTATGTTCAGTCAAGTTTGGAAACAAAGCCATAGTAAGTGTATGAATTATCAATATATAGGAAAGCAAATCAAAGTGATGTTTGCTTTTTAAACAGATTTTAAAACTTTTCAATTTTTGCTTAAATGTTCCTATCTTTAAAAACAAGCAAAAGTTCCCAATACCTTGAAAAAGTGTTGCTGTAAATCGAATATGATTCCATCTGCTCAGAATACTTCCTATTTAATTTTGTAACTACTTGCACGCAAAAGAACACAATTAGTTCAGCCTTTGTTTCTCAGCTGTACTTCTCCAGGAAGGAGACTATTTTCTCAGAGACCTTGTAACCTACTCTACAATCAAACAGATTAAGCTGAATTATTTCTAAGTCTCCTTTTTCCTACTATCTCAATATTATAGAATTCTTTTATCTGCTTGTTCTAAATTACCTTCCAATTTTGATTTTTCTACATCAATAAAGATGATGTGATTAGCCCTTAGTAGTGAGAAAGAATGCACAGATGGTCCCTGGTTATTATTTGAAGGCAGACACTGACTTGGATTTTGACCTCAGCTGATGAATACAGTACTTTTTATACCTGAAATAAGAATCATTCTAAAATGTGTCTGGATCATTTTTGAAGGATGCTTTCACAGAATCCTAAAAAGAGCAGGTGCCACATTCTATTTCCTAATTTATAACAAGACTAAAAGAGCTATCATGTATCATATCATGATTTGATCAATGCTTAGAAAGGCAGTGATAGGGAACTTTATTGTTCTATGACCATAGGAATCCTTTCCAACATAAATTAAGATGGTGATGATGCCACTGGATGATAAAATTTTACCGGTGTACCATCATATAAGGCATTAACTAAAATCTCACATGCAACTAATGACTGTGTATACTGGAGAAACTGCACAGCTTCCCAGGAATATCTTTTCCAATACATCCTATCATTGATGCAAGGTAGTGATTTTAATAAAACTCAAAAATTGAAGTCTTCAACATTTGCCAAGATCACACGCATGGCATTGTGTGGGGAAGAAAACAAGGAGGAGCAAACACTTCTAGTGTTATTAATGACCCATAATCTGTTGCTTTCAATGTAGACTCCGGCAAGAGGAATCTCGTGCATGGAGAATTATTGAATAAATAACGCCATGAGGGCTAAATTCACAGATTCACAAACACATTCAGAAATATGTTGAATTGCTTCATAACACACAGAGGGCCAGAACTTACCTCTAGCTGATGCAGGAGAGCTTTTCCTTTCTTATTTATTTCTACCATCAATGTAAATATAGCAACTTTAATATCCTGTTCCACCTGTTTTTGGTTTTGATTGACTTCAATTATTCTAGAAATTAGATGAAAAAGGAAAAACTAAAATTTATGTCTAATACTTAATTTTTATTTCAATACCCAGATAGAGATGTTTTCAGTCCGTCAGAACCTTATTTTAAAAATTATACTTTGAAGATAATTATTCCGGGTTACCTACCTACTGAATTTCATATTAGACTCAAAGTACAAGAAACTGAAAAAAAGAAATCAGAAAAATATGGCTTCAAAGACACCCAGGAAAATCAAACTACAGAAGGATTAATGGGAGGGAGTTCTACCAAAAGAACCTGAAAAAAGATCCATTGTGCTTATGAATAGACTCTACTGTATTCACTGCAATAGAAACAGAGAAATAAGACAGGTACAAATAAGGAGGCAGCGGAAGGAGGAACCCCAAACCTACAAAAGCGTACTGTGGAAAACAAAAACAAAACAAAAAACACACACAAAGAGATAATATTTTCAATAATCATGGTAGCTTTTAAACTTTTATGGTTGAAAATTTTCCAATTCAGGGCCCAGCAGCATGGCCTAGCGGCTAAAGTCCTTGCCTTAAACACGCCGGGATCCCATATGGGCACCAGTTCTAATCCCGGCAGCTCCACTTCCCATCCAGCTTCCTGCTTGTGGCCCGGGAAAGCAGTCGAGGATGGCCCAAAGCTTTGGGACCCTGCACCCATGTGGGAGACCCGGAAGAGGCTCCTGGTTCCCGGCTTCGGATCGGCACAGCTCCGGCCGTTGCCCTCACTTGGGGAGTGAATCACCAGACAGAAGATCTTCCTCTCTGTCTCTTCTCCTCTCTATATATCTGACTTTTATAAACATAAATATTTGTAAATATTTATAAACATAAATAAATCTTTAAAAAAATTTTTCCAATTCAAAGTTTTTAGAGAAACCCTTTCAAACACATTTATTATTAGTCATTTCTTAACTTGATATTTCACAGTGAATTAAAATGTTCTAAAATTGAATACATTTAACACCTGTAAAAATGAATATAATATGAACTTACCTGTTTTGAATCTGATTTCCTGTAAATTTTATGTACTTTGTCTTTTCCATTAGTTTGGTGATTAGTGTGTCTATTATCACTTTCTGGTTCTGAAAAGCTTCTTCTATAAATTGGTATCTGAAAAAATAAGCAAATTATTTAATGCAAGTATTTTAAAAAGTCCCAAAGTACAGATATAACTAATGATACAATTATAGAAGATATTGAAATGTTTTAAAATATCAAATAGGACCACAAAGGCAATTTTCCCTTAAATTATTCTTGAAACAAAAACAGGAGTCACACATTTTCGCAGATACATTATGTTCATAATTTGATAACTCTGAATGCGCACCGTAAGTGTACATTTTAAAGAGCACTTATTTTAACACTTCTCATTGTGTCGCCATCCAATGTAAGAGTGCAGGACTCAGCTGTCTCCTCTGCTCTCTATAGTGGAGACTAGAACAAACTAGAAAACACACACTTGATTCCAAGACCATCCAATCTAATTCCAGCCAGATGGGGACATAAAAGTATGGTGACCCAGCATTACAACAGCTTCCCCTTTCCCAAAAAGGTCAGAAATCTAGCTTCTATTTTTTCCTTCCAAATAAAATGTCCTCACATAACTGCAATGGCCTCTAGCACCAGGTATCTGCAGTGTGTGGTGTGGGCCAGTGATTCTCTACTCCAAGCAATGTTGCGCCAAGACATGTGGCATCTATGGACACATTCTGGGGTGTTAAAACAGTGGAAAGAAGAGAGATCTCCTTGGTGAGGTGAGGCTCAAGGATATTGCTAATCACTGTATAATACACAGAACATTACTCTATAATGAAAAATTAGCAAGCCCCAAATGTCAATATTGTGTAAGCTGAGACACTGTGGTCTAGACCAGCATACTTGTGGTCAAGCCAAACAGCTGCAGACAGCCCTGTGGATGGAGTGGCAGCCGTCCTGCAGTCCTCGCAAAGCTGTCTGACACATCTGTGTGTAGAATCAAAGATGCTGGTACCTATGTTCCTTATGTTCTAACAGCTGGCAATCCCGACATGTCAGTTTGTCACATGTCTCACAGTAAAGTTTCAACTGCTCCTTTTTATGAAAAGGACAAAACACTGGCCGCTGACTGGTCACACCAACTGCCTCTGCAGAGAAACAGGAGGCAAAAGAGAACATCAACACAACTGAAAAAGAGAAATGATTATGTATGATCTACTACACTTGAAATTCAGATCTTAAAGGAACAGCCATAATTTCATCTTTACCATAACTAACATGAGGTGTTACAGATAAGAAAATACTAACCATCTTAAAGCATTTTTATTACTAAGCATCTGAAGAAAAGATAATTAAACTTTAATGTTCCAAGTTAATTTTGGGACCAACAGAACAGTCATACGTGGTGAAAAACATGCTTTATTGAATAACAAGTCTTAATGTTCTTGAAAAGTATGAAGCACTTAAGATATTTTCAAAATTCAAAGCATGGAAAGAGATCTTTTGGCATCAATTTTAAAAACTGAATTAAAGTAAATGGAATAATAAATATTCCATTACCCCACTTCTGCAAAAATCCTAATAAGAAAATAAATATCTTTGTGCTACTATATTGTAGTTTCCCATGTGACATCACTAGTTTTCAGAATTGAGATAAAACTAGGAAGTGCTTATGTTACTATGTTAAATGGAACACAAATGTAATGACTTACTATATATCAAACATGAACTACCTCACTAGTAACTAAAAAAAAAAATCCAAATATTTAAAAAATAGTATTATCAGAGAAAACAATGCCTAATGCCCAGTGGGTCTTTCTCTGAATATTTAGTTTAAGAATATTTACTTTAAAGGAAAAACAACCTAAGACGGGAAGACAGGCGAGAAGGAAAGGAGTCATCCAACTACCAGTCAATGAAGCATAGGATGCCATAGGATGTGGTTAAGAACCTGCATTTTCTAACACATTGGACACTCAGTACCATCTCAATTAACTTGATGATGTTGTAAATTGTTGTTGAAGTTGTATTGTGGCTTTTCATTGGAGGGGATGATATTCTGCCAGCTCTAATTTCAGACCAGGGATGGTCTCCCAATGAAACTGTTGATTTTACCTGGACAGTAAGATGCTGGACTCTCTGCATGCTCCATGCCCACAAAGAAGGAATCATGACTGGATATGAACTGTATTACTATAACAGCGTGAAGGAATCCTACATGGGGGGAGGGCTTTTTGGAAGGGGTTGGGAGAATCCCAGAGCCTATGAAACTGTGTCATAAGACAAAAAAGAAAGAAAAAAGACGGGAAAACAGAGAAGAAGAAAGGGAATCACCCATCTACTGGTTCACTCGCCAAATGCCATGCTCAGGCCAGAAAAGCTAAGAGGTGCCATGCGTGTGGCAGGGACCCAGCTGGAACCAACCTGCTGCTTACGCAGGATGTGCAATAGCAGGAAGCTGTATCAGCACCAGACGTGGGATTTGAATTCAGTTACTTCCCTAGCAGTGGTTTCCAAGTACCACCAGAAGGCTCACTTTAAGCTTTCTCTTTCAAAAACATTGAATTGTTAAAAATATTTTTTTTAATTTGCTGGAGAGGCAGAGAGAGAGGCAAGGAGCCAAGACAGAACCATTTGCTGGTTCACTCTGCAAACTGCGTGTTGCAGCTGGACCTGGACCGAGACTAGTACCAGGGGGTAGGAATACAATGCCCGTCACCCAAATGTCCTAAGCCATCACTGCTGCAACCCAGGTCTTCACCAGCACCAAGAGCTGGAAGCAGCAACAAAACCCACACACTCGGATGTGGGCTGCAGGTCTCTGAAGTGCTAAATACTTGCTACTCCTTTTTTTTAAAATAAAGATTTATTTATTTTTATTGCAAAATAAGTTTTTGTTTTTGAAGATTGCTCCAAAAACACTTTTTTGTCTCAGGCTTGGCACAACAGTTTGAGGGCTAAATCCTCACCTTACAATGCTGGTTCATGTCCCAGCTGCTCCACTTCCCCCATACTGCTTGTGGCCTGGGAAAGCAGTCGAGGATGGCCCAAAGCATTGGGACCCCACACCTGCGACGGAGACCAGGAAACAGCTCCTGGCTCCTGGCTTCACACTGGCTCAGCTCCAGCCATTGTGGCCATAAGGAGAGTGAACCAGAGGGTGGAAGATCTTTCTGTCCTTCCTTCTTTCCATAAGTCTGATCTTCCTTTCCAATAAAACTAAATCTTTTTTAAAAGATTAGTTATACTTCATACGATACACTGTCATGGTTTTTACTTTAAATTTTTAATTCTTATATAAAATTTATTTCATCAGTCCTTACAAAGACTTTCAATATGTGCCGGAAAGCAGAATAAACTAGTAGGCTCAGATTTTCTGACTGTAATAAATTGATGCTGTAGGGCAAGATATACAAATATAACGAAAGCATGGGAGGAAAATTCATTGTTCATTTAAAAGAATTGTTGGGTAGGGATTGGCATCTTAAGCTGCCACCTTTGGTGCTGGCATCCCTTCAGAGCACTGAATCAATTCCCAGCTGCTTTGTTTGTAACACACCTCTCTGTCTGGTTAAGTCCTCCCCACCCCCGCCCCGCCCCTGTCAACCAACACTCTGCATTTCCTTTCTCATTAAAGTCGTTTCAAAGTTCCTTCAACATGTCATTACATCCATTGCCTACTATTTCAATTTAGGTTTGAATTGGACAGAATTACCGAAACCTAGGTATCTCTCAACTTCTATGTACACCCACTCGGTCTGCCAAGATGAGTTTTATGGCCTACATTGCACATTACTTTGAGTCTACTAAGCAATCCTGTTTCCACAGCTGCAATTCTGTTTCAACTGGAGGTACCTGGCTTCCAACCTAAACCTTAAACTCAGGTTGGCACTCCTCCCATGTGCTCTAACAGAACTTATTTGATGAAACAGTACCTATTTGCTTATGATCTTCATTATCCTGTAGCCCTGTCTCATTCACCTTTCATCCCTTGTACTTAAACTTCCTGGAACACGGAGTAGTTGTACAAACACTGGTTGACTTAAAGAAAAAGCAGCAGTGGGGCTGGTGGGGCACAGTATGATTAGCCGCCAGCAGCATTCCTGGACTCTCAGAGCACGAACTCCAAGTCTCAGTTGCTCTATTCTGATCTAGCTCCCTGCTGATGTACTAGGGAAGGCAGAAAATGGTCCAGATAATCACATGCTTGGACCCTGTGCACAGACCCAGATGGAGATCCAGGTTCCGGTTCTGGGCTACAGTCAGCCCTGGATGCTATGCCCATGTATGTAGAGAACCATTGGATAGAAGATCTTCTTTGCTTCTCACCCATTCTTTCAAATAAAAATTTTGAGAAAGCAGTAAAATGGCTTTTAAACAAAAGTGCAGTAACAAACCCTAAAACTGAAATTCCGATATATGACACAGATGAACCGTTGCAATACGCTACATGAAAAAAGCCACAATATCAACACACAAATATTGTATAATTTCCCCTGTATGAAATAAACAGAAAATGAAGGTTAGATACAGAGGACAGTAGGGGAAGTAATCAGATTTATTACTTAATGGGCAAAGAGATAAAGAGAAATTGCTTAAGGTAAAAATGAAAATTTTAAAAACAGATTCACAAGACTGCAAATGCAATCAATGCCACTGAACTAGATACTTAAAAATAATGAAAATGTTAAATATTGGGTTATTTTGGCAAAGTATGTTAGGGAACTTTGCATTAAAAACATAATAAAAATCCAGAAACCGTAGAAACATAAAATGCCAACATCTTTGGTTATCTATTTATCATCCAAATATGAGCGGGTTTATCTACAAGAGCATCAGAATGAAGAATGTTATAAAACTTTTAAATCTGTTATTTGTCACCTTCGAACTAAGTAATAATGGAGAAAAAGAAAAAACAAGTATTAGAAAATTGTCTTCATGTTTGCAACAAAAAGCAGTGGGAAGACAGGACTGAAGGACATGCTTTACGCTAACCTATATATACAAACACTTCTATTTCAAGTAACACGCGGATGTTTGTATTTAAAAACAACAGTGTTCGCAGTGCATCAAAGTTTATTAAAACAAGCAATACCCAAAGCAAAATGCACAAAACCGATCTGTTACCTGGAGATACTTCCTCTTTCTGTCTTACGGTGTGGTCTTTTGTGAATTTCACCCTTTGATGAGCTCTGATACATGTCTTACACAGCCATTCAACACACTCTACACAAAATCCATTAGCTTCTGCATTGTCCTCACAGCTTGTACACACCTAATAAAAGAAATGTGTCATCTAAATTTTCCAGATAATTGAAAAGCTCATCATACCATGATAAGCTCTTACCAGTGTTTGTGAATTTAAATTGATAACTATTTAATTATAAACATAATAAACAGGATTATGCACAAGCAAGACTATAAATACATTTTCTCCTTCTTTTCATACCCTAACACTCTAGGCACTATACCACATTTGAGGATATATACAATTAGGAACAGCAAACACGGACATTTGCCCTTATGATAGTCTCACAAATGCACCATAGGTGTGAATTTTTTTTCCCCACTAACTAGCTTAGTAATCGCAGAGCAGCTGCAAATAATCACAGTAGTATCTTCACTACAAACCAAGAAGTGCCAGCATGGAAGGGTATGAGAAGTGTTTGGGGGACAGGAAGGCTGGCAAAGACTTTTCCAAAGGAGACGGTATTGGCATCATGATATGAAAGTCACGTCACCAACTACTGGATGAAAAACCTTCTTGGCAAGAGACTGCATGGACTCAAAGTCAAGAATAGCAGAGGAAGGCAGGTTGAACAAACTAAAAGGAATCTAGTGTGACTGAAGTGGAGACATCAAGGAGGAAAGAGAGGGAGTGGGCAACAGAGGGAGTGGGTGGCAAGGCAAGGAAGAGCCAGGCCAGGAGAGGTCACACGGTCATGCTGATCTTTGTCCACAGCTGCCTAGTTAAAAGCAAGTGCGGCACGGCCTATTTGAATTTTAGTATCGCTGCTGCTATACTAAAAAATGTAGCGAGACTATAATGTGTAGAAATTCTGTGAACATACCTTATTTTACAAGTTTCATTTTGCACTGCATGAATGTTTCCTATCTACCTGTATGAATTTAACTTATACATGAATTTTTCTATCTAGTTGTGCAAGCTTAAATTGGAAATTCAGTTGGCTAAACACAAAAACTGAAGCAAAACTGCTTACTAAGTAGGAGCATTAATTACAAATTTAAAAAGTGTTTCGTGGCACTTAAATAGTTACTAAAGTGATGGACTGACTGTCTCACGTGGGAATATCTGGATTTAAGTCCTAGCTCCTGACACCAGCTTCCTGCTAATGCAAAATATTGGGAAGCAGGAGTGACAGCTCAACTGAATCAAGATAGTCAAATAGGGTAAGGACTTGTTTTAACAGACAAACAGCAGCCAGGGTGAAGCAGAAGGGCACATTCAAGAAAACAGGAGAGGACAAAATAACAGAGGTGCAATTGGAGACTGACAGGCACAGGAGGACACAATGGTGTGGAGTTGCAGTGGCATTTAGCAAGTGGTGTTCTGAACTATCAGCAGCCAGAACTCACCAGCACCAAGGTGGGAAGGGGCTTCTAATGGCAGACAGAGCAGAAGTCCCAGACGGGCAGTGCAAGAACAGGGTGGATTTCACACCCAGTCCACCTGCTTGGGCCTATTTTGGTGCCATTTGTGTAAGGAGGAAAGTATTATGGACAAGACTGCACATGGCATACACTGAGCTGGGAGTGAACTCATTTCTGGCTCACTGAACTGCAACAACGTAGCATCCTACAGGTTCAAACCAAGATGGATCCAAGCAGACTTCTGACCTAATGGCCAGCAGATCAAGAACCCTAGTAGAGGTACATCAGGTGTCGTTTTGTACGGAGTGGAAAATAATACAGACTTTGGCAAAGTATGGATCAAAAATAGGTCCAAGTTGTCCTCAGACTTAACAGTGAACAGGTTCCAGTAGGACTAGCAGCGCTAACAACCTAGCTATTTAGGATACCTGTTGTCTCACTAATCCCAGGAACTGCTCTAACACAGGAAGTAGAGACTGGCGAGCCAGGAGACGGAGCTACAGAGACTATGGTGAACGTCTAACATAAAAACCCAGACCTGGAACTCACTGGAGGGAGTGGCACAAGTGACTGCAGACAAAGAGCCATGTACAACCACAATAAGTAAAATCGAACTGTAGGACCTGGTGGTGTGGCCTAGCGGCTAAAGTCCTCGCCTTGAATGCCCCGGGATCCCATCTGGGCATTGGTTGGAATCCCAGCTGCTCCAATTCCCATCCAGCTCCCTGCTTGTGGCCTGGGAAAGCAGTTGAGGATGGCCCAAAGCTTTGGGACCCTGTACCCTTGTGGGAGGAAGCTTCTGGCTCCTGGCTCCATATTGGCACAGCACCAGCCATTGTGCTAACTTGGGGAGTGAATCATCACACGGAAGATCTTCCTCTCTGTCTCTCCTCTCTGTATATCTGACTTTCCAATAAAAATAAATCTTTAAAAAAAGAAAATCGAATTGTAGACCTGTGGGTGACACAGCTTAGAAACCTGCCAAGGAGAAGACTCTGCTAACAAAAAGTTCCAAGAGCAAAAGAGAGAAAAGCACAGTGAATATTACTGAAGACTCCCCTGCAAAGGAACAAACCCTTTGCCAACCTCAGTTCACTGAGGAAGACATCGAGAAAATGGGGATGTTCAATTCAAAACACTTGTTGTAAAGCTTCTTAAGAAGCACGTAACAAAATTCAAAAAATTTAAAGTACATGTCACATAGGAAAAGCTGAGCTTCAGATTGGCTCAGCTCCAGCCATTGTGGCTGCTTGGGGAGTGAACCATCGGCTGGACAGCATTGCGGACACTTGGAGAGTGAACCATGGGACAGAACATCTTCCACTGTCTTTTCTCTGTATATCTGCCTTTCCAATGAAAAATAACTAAATAAATCTTTAAAAAATGATTGCATTAATTTAATTAAGAATCAAGAGGGCAGTGGGTAAAGCTACAGTCTGTGATGCCAACAATCCATGAGTGCCATTGCCTGTCTTGGCCATCCTACTTCAGATTCAGTACCCTTCTACTGACCTGGGAAGAGCAGTTGAGGTTGTCCTATGTCTCTGATCCCCTGCACCCATGTGGGAGACCAATAAGAAGCTCCAGAGCTGGCTTTGGGTTGGCTCAGCTCTGGCTACTGTGACCATTTAGGGAATGAGCCAACAGATCAATGATCTTTCTCTTTGCTTCTTCCTCTTTGCAATAACAATTAAAACAAACAAAAAAAATAAAACAAAGTCTGGCACAGAGGCATAGTGGCTAAAGTACTTGCCTTGAATGTGCCGGTATCCCATATGGTCACTGGTTCTAATCCTGCTGGCCCTACTTCCAATCCAGCTCCCTGCTTGTAGCCTGGGAAAGCAGTCAAGGACAGCCCAAAGCCTTGGGACCCCGCATCCATGTGGGAGACCTGGAAGGGACTCTGGACTCCTGGCTTTGGTTTGGCGCAATTCTAGTCATTGCAGCCGCATGGGGAGTGAATCAGCAGACGGAGGATCTTTGTCTCCGTCTCTCCTCCTCTCTGTATATCTACCTTTCCAATAAAAATAAATCTTTAAAAAAAAAAAAAAGGAAAATAAAACCACCTCTTGATAAGTACATATAGCTAATAACCATTTTCCCTTCAGATTTAGTCTTTTCAGATCTGCTGCAAATTAAAATAGCAACCTACAGAAATTATCAATGAACCATGACTCACAAGTAACTAATATACTGTAAGTAGCCTATGCTATCATATCTAAACATTGAACATCTAAACTTAGGGGACCAATGGGGAGGTAAGCAAAGAAGAAAAACATTGGGAAACTTAATTCAAAGTTGTGAACAATGCTATGAGATGACATTTTCCAGAGTGAAATCAAAAAGAAAAGACTGTTTTAGAAAACTATTGTTCGAAGAAATGCTGTTTTTCATATATCATTATAGAGTTCATCATTAAAATAGAAAAAAAAAAGGGTGGTTTAAAAAATTATCTACACACAAAGTTCAAGAAATGAAGTAATTACTACAGAGTAATGACTGAGTGTGGAGGACAGATGGCACAGATGCACTCAAGGGATTCTGCATTTGGACTTTCATTTCTTAAGAAGCCAATCTCTATTGCTTACTTTGAAAATATTATCAATACAATCCCATAAATGAATGGCCTAATGTTTTAAGTTGCCAAGGGGAAGCAAATGTCAAGACTTCAACATACTTACCTGATTAGACTTTTCTACTGTACTGCTGGGAACCTCGGTGGTGTCCTTCACAAAAAAGTTGTCTATGATGTGTCTCTCTGCACATTCTTGGCTGCAAACCGGGCATCGGATGACTCCAACTATGGAAAATAAAAATCACATCCAAAGCTTTAATGAAAATGTTGCTTTTGTGGTTATTAGCAGGTTAAATTACAGAGAATCAGAGTGAAAGTGAAAGGGTGAGAGAGATCTGTCCATCCATTGGTTCACTCTCCAATGGGTGCAGGGTCAAACACTAGAGCCACTCTGCTGGTTTTCTCAGGCAATTAGCAGGGAACTGGGAATGGAATAGCCAAGACTGGAACCAGCCCCTACATGGGGAAGTTGGCACTGCAGGTGGCTTTACCTACCATGCCACGGTGCCAGTCCCTGAGTAGGCTTAAGAAAGAGTTGTATGGATGGGTTCAAATGACATCCTCCTGAGACTGCAGATTCTTGTTGTGAGTGGCCGAAGGAGACCATCAGGTGGCCCGACTGCAGGGGCAGACTCTCTGGACAGACCACTGGGCAGGTGTGCCTCCCACCAGCCTTTGGTTTTGAGAATCCTAAAGCTGTAGTTTCAAGCTTTGGTTTAACCCTTTCTGGGAACTCCTTTTAGTCTGACTTTTTATTGTATGCCCTGGCCTACCAGGACATAATCTCATTCCTGTTCACCAGCTGCAGCTTCTCCTAACCACAAGGGTACCTGGCGAGTTCCCCTCCAGCCATCCAGACAGCCATGGCAGAGGCTGACAGCCGCTGCTGAGCAGCTGCTGGGGATCCATTTCATGCCAAGCAGAACGGAGGCACCTTACAGATCTTTTCTCCTGATCCTTTCAACAAACCCAGCATCTCTGCTTTTTTCCTTTCTGATTCTGCCTGTCACTTTTCACCACTGCTGCCATGTGTGGATGGTCAAACAGGGCTAGTATCAACCAACACACAGCTAAGCAGTCACAGGGACTGCCTGCACCCAGCCTTCAGATCTCTAAAAGTAAGCCATAAACCCCACTGAGGCCTGGTTTCATCATTCCTGTCCAGTCAGCATGGATATAATTCCTCAGCCATCTCTACATGCTGACCTTGAACTTCTCCCTGCCTCTACTTCAGCTTTCCAAACCCCATGGGAGCTGTTCTGCAGTGCGTGCAGCTGGTACAGTGAGCAGAGCTTGCTGAGGCTGACGTAGACATGGGCCAGCAGACCACAGGGCAGGCAATGGCAAACATCTATGTAAGGCTGCTGGCAGCAATCTCATGTAGGATGAAGCAGCCAGGGTGGTGAGGCGGTTGCATGCTCTGGTCAGCAGCATCAAGGACAGCTCTCCTGCCAGTTGGCAAGGAAATAAATGGTAACACCAGTAGGGGGGCTGCTGGGGCTTCCCTGCTTCACCAATACTCCTGTTGGTGAGCATTAAAACTGGGATTTGGGGCAGATTAGGTTGGGCAGTGCTAGAAAACACTCTGGCCTGCATGCGAGCTGGGTTAGGGGAAGAGCCAGGCTGGGATAAGGGGCATGCATGAGCCAGAGTAAACGCAGGCTGGCGGGGCTTTGCAATAGTATCAGCTAGCAGATGCTTGGACTAGGGGGCAAGTCCTGACAGACCACAGAACCAACTGGAAAGTCCATGATACAGGGCTGGGAATGGGCCAAGTAGGGAAACTGTGGGCACCCCTCGGGCTGCAACTCCCACTGGTGAGTATGGGAATCAGGGATGGGGGAGGGCCTGGCTGGACAGGCGGTGGTACACAACGGCATGAGTGTGGGCTGGACAGTGGGGTGGATCAAGCTGAACCAGCCTCTAACACCCTTTGATGTGTATGAGAGCTGAATGGGATGTGGCATGGACTGGCCCACTCTGTTGCACATACTGGCATGCTCAGGAACGAGGACTGAGAGTGGACCAGGTGAGGGTTACTGGGGATTGCAGAACTAGTCTGCAGTTCCTGCTGCTGTGTGTGAGGGCTGAGTGTGCAGTAGACAAGGCTGAGCCTGGCTGCAGCATCCACTGGTTGGCATATGTGATGGAGCTGGGAGAGGGCTGCAACCACCAGTTTGTGTGTGCTGATATGGGTAATAGTCCAAGCCAGATTCCACAAAGACAGGCACACACAGAGGGTCACCTCTGGTGAGTTTTTTTTTTTTTTTTTGGAGGGGGGAGCCCCAAATTGGATCACTGAACTCAGAACTCCAACCTCAGTGAAAATTACAAAATCTGTGGTCTAACCATGGAGTACACGTGTCGGAACTGGTCCTCCTAAGTTGCTGATGATGCTACAGCAGATGGCATGCCTAGATGCTCAAGGGCAACGTGACACTAGTTCATTGAGGCCTGCAGAGGACATCTAGTACCACGGAGGACACAACAAATTGTACAGCTGTCCTGGTCAAGCTTTGACAGCGAGTATTTGGGCAAATCCAGACTATAATACTTTCAGTGGATTTCCTTAACCTTGGAGCAATGAAATCAACATCTCAGAACAAAAGCACTTAAACAGTATCCTCAGAACATGTTCCATATCGGGGACCCTGGGATGACACAGGGTGGCTATCCCTGTTCTTGGGTACTGATGGGGTTGTGCTGTTGGTAGCAGCCCTCTCTGCTTCCTCCCCACTTTCTGCAGATATAGGAAGAAGAAAGGAAGTAGCTGTCTCCTTCACTTCCTCTATCCCTCAACCCTCCTCATTCTAATCACATGGGCATGCATCCCTCAACTATGTAAATATCATAGACAATAAAATGAACTTATTTTTTAAGAGGCTTCTTCAGCTTGATAACGAGTAACTCAGCAAAACCAACAGCTCATATATTTAGTGGTGAAATCCTGAATGCCTTCTGCTACAACTGGAGGAGTATCCACACACTACTTCTATTCAAAGCTTTTTCATTGAGTACACAAAAGATAAAGAAAATGCAAATGAATTGGAAAGGATCAACTAAAGCTACAGTCATAGCTGAAGTGAATTATACATAAGAAACAGAAAGCACATGCCAACACACCTGCTGAATAATAGGAAATGTTTTAACAATGTCTAAGATTTGTATCATGAAAATAAAAGAACTAATTATATTTAAAATATTCCTGAATTGGAGTTGGTGCTGATGTAGAGCAGGTTAAATCACTCTAGCATCCAATACCAGAATGTGGTTCAGGATGAGGATGCCATGCTTCCAAATCAGCCCCCTAACTAATTTGCTGAGAAAGCAGCAGAGAATGGCTTGACTATATAGGTGGTAACACTGATTTGGGAGACCTGGATGCAGTTCATAGTTCCTGACAATGTTAAACCTGGCCCAACACTGCCCACTGTGGCCATTTGGAGGGATGAACCAGTGGATAGAACACCTCCTTCTCTATGCTGCCATATGGCTCATCAGGTTAATCCCTATCCGCAAATGCCAGCACCCCATATAGGAGACAGTTTATGTCCCAGTAGCTCTATTTCTGATCCATTTCTCTGCTTATGGCCTGAGAAAGCAACAGTGGGTGGTCCTTGGCTTCTTGTACCCACTTGGAGGACCTGGCTCCCAGCTTTGGATTGGCTCAGTTCGGCCATTGTGGCCATTTGGGGACTGAACCACCAGATGAAAGATCTTTCTGTCTTTCCTTCTCTCCATAAATCTTTCAAGTAAGAATAAAGCCATATAGCCATATATAAGAATAAAGCTGTGGGCCTGGTGCGATGGCACAGTGGTTAAGGTTCTCGCCTTGCACGCCCCAGGATCCCATATGGGCGCCCGTTCTAATCCCGGTGGCCCCGCTTCCCATCAGCTCCCTGCCTGTGGCCCGGGAAGGCAGTTGAGGACGGTCCAAAGCTTTGGGCCCCTGCACCCGTGTGGGAAAGGAAGCTCCTGGCTTCGGATCAGCATAGCATTGGCTATTGCGCTCACTTGGGGAGTGAATCATCGGATGGAAGATCATCCTCTCTGTCTCTCCTCTCTGTATATCTGCCTTTCCAATAAAAATAAATAAATCTTAAAAAAAAAAAAAAGAATAAAGCCGTATATATACACAAACACACACATGCACACTCACACACACACACACACACACACACACACACACACACACACCTCCTTGTATTGGAACACTCAATATAACTAGGATTCTTCATCTCCTGAAGATTCAATGCAATTTCAATTGAAAGCCAAGCAGGCTTTTTACAGGAAATTGACTCTAAACTTTATATGAAAATGCAATGGGTAGAGAACACAAAAATAATTTTAAAGCATGACAAATTTGGAAAAATTACCCCAGAGGATCAGCACTATGGCACAGTAGGTTAAGCTGCTACCTGCAGTGTCAGCATTCCCTAGGCACTGGGTCAAGTCCTGGGTGCTCCACTTATAATCCAGCTCTCTAATGCACACAGGAAAGCAGGAGATGACCCAAATACACAGACCCCTGTACACTTACGTGAAACCCAAAAGAAGCTTTTGGTTTCAGCCTAGCTCAGCCACAGCCATTACAGCCATTTAGGGAGTATGCAAGAGGATGGAAGACTTCTCAAAATCTTAAAAAAATGAGAATCAAGATAGTGGAATATGGGGACGTAGAGTAATTGTGTAATGGAGACTATTATATCCAGACATGAGGATACAATGCAGTATGCATCTCTACTTCCAAACTAAAGATGGACTCCCAAAGGAACTGTTGAATATATCTTGACAATAGGGTGCTGGACACTCTGCCATTGTCCATGCCCACAACAATGGACATATGACTGTATGAAGTCACTTACACTATGGTAAGGATATAGGAAAACTCAGTGAGGGGATAAGGGTAGGGGATAAGGGAAATCCAAGCGCCTATGAAACTATCATAAAATGATAAAAATAATAAAAATAGGAAAAAATTTTAAAAAGATGTAGCACAGAATTGTAAGACAAAAATAGGCATTACAGAGAGAAGAGTCATCTACAATGGAAAGTAAGTTTAATTTGGGTCTCAATGACTGAAGATTTATGGAAAAGACTTCTACAGAAGTTGTAAATCATGGGCCTGGTGTGGTAGCCTGGTGGCTAAAGTCCTCGCCTTGCACACGCCAGGATCCCATATGGATGCCGGTTCTAATCCCGGCAGCCCCGCTTCCCATCCAGCT